ATCTCTGGTTCAAAGGACCCAATGTCCTCTTAATTGCTCAGTCCAGGGGTGGAGAATCTTTGGCCTCAAGGCCACATGTGACCCTCTAGGTCCTCAAGTGGGGGACTTTGACTGAATCCAAATATCACAGAACAAATCTCCTTAATAAAAGGATTTGTTCTGTAAAACTTGGACTCAGTTAAAAGGTCGCACTGGAGGACCTAGAAGACCACATATGTATGGCCATGAGGCCGCAGGTTCCCTGCCCCTGAACTATTATCTCCATTTGGATGACTCCCAAATCTATAGTTATTGCTTCCACATCAAGACTTTGTCCATCGTGGTCTCAATATTATCACAGGTTGGCATGAGAAATTAAATGAGGAATTTTGGGGGAGTTCTGCAGAAGCCACAGATGACACAGAAAATTTAGAAACTCAGAAATGCACAAAACATATATATAGTATTGTATAATACCAATATATTTTATCATTTGATATCATAATAATTCAGGCTTCTTTCTCTGGTACAAAGGGAGGGCCAAAACTTTTTATTCTGATTTCCTAGATCGTGGGGGATGAGGGGCAAACCCCTAACCTCCGAGTTGTGGAAGGGAGTATATCCAGTCCCACATCACCAAGTGCCTATTTCAAACTGGATGGCCCAGGAACACCTCAAACTTAACATGTCCCAAACTGAAGTCATTATCCCACCCCCTCCTCCCCAAACCCTCCCCTCTTCCAAGCTTCCCTATCAAAGGCACCACCATTCCTCCAGTGTCCTAGCTTCATAACCTTGGCATCGTCTGTCTCCTCACTCTCCTTCATCCCACATATCCAAAAGTTATTGCTAAACCTTGCCCTTTTGACCTTGCAACATCTCTCCCATCTGACCCCTTCTCTCTGCTCACATAGCTACCATCTTCCTCCAGTCTCTTCATTGGTCTCCCTGTCTTATGCCCCCTCTCACTGCAACCCATCCTCCACACTGTTGCCAAAGCATGGATATGACCCCTAGAAAATCAACTCCAATGGCTCCCTACTACCTAAAAGATGAAATATATGTTTCTCTGTTTAGTTTTCAAAGAGTTTTGAAATCTGGCCCCACCTCCCTTTCCAGCCCCATTGGATGTCCCTCCTTCTATACTCTGGGATCCTCCAAACTGTCCTCTTAATGGCCGCCTCCCCTCTGTATGCTTCTCCACAGGCCATCATCCCCCTGTACTCTCCCAGCCTTGGAAACATAGCTTGGGCATTGCCCTCTAGATAACATTTCTCCTCTTTCCCCCGCCAACACCGAATGGTTGTCTCACCCATTAGAATGTCAACTTCTGGAGGGCAGAGACTGTCCCAGCTTAGTATTTGTGTTCCCAAGGTGTGGCACAGAGTCCATACTAAATACTCGGAGGTTGTCACCTGAGAAAAGGATCAGGGGATGTGGCATTTTGTTAGTCACTTTAAGTGGGGTGGAGTGGGGTGCGGTGATTGATTCCACCCCCACCCCCTTACAAAGGAAAGATGTGCCAGGAAAGATATTAACTCTGAGACACCTTCCTCCCCACCTCTGGTACATACCCGAGGGGCTAGTACTCGGGGTTCTCCCGGCTGGCTCTGGCTCCCTCCTGCTCCTCCCCAGCCTCACCACTGAGCAACCCAACCTTCTACTCTCAGACCCATGGGTCCCCCAGGGCAGGAGTTCTGGTGGACAGGCAGCTCAATCTGGTTTACCCTGGGACTGGATTTGTCAGCTCCAAGCTGGCTAGAGGCTTAGCTTGCTGAGCGTTAGGCCTGGGCACTGGGGCCCTTGGCTGGGAGAAGAAGGAAAGGAGGAAGGGAGGAAAGGACGGAGGGAAGGAAGAAGAGAAAAAGGGAGAGAGGGAAGAAGACAGGGAGATGAGTTTTCCCTCATGGCAATGCCCAAGGCAACCATCCATTCTGCCTTGGGTACAAGGCAAGGGGAGCAGCCCCAGTGTTAAGATGGTGGGGCCAAGGAGTGGCAAGTACAGCTGGAAATTCTGGGGAGGGGCCTCTCGGGCCCACAGGGGGAGGTTCCCATAGTGGTCACCAGAGGGCCGAGGAGCAACACTCCTTCCTCCCCAAACCTTTGGCCCCAGGTAGAGGATGATTGGAGACAGAAGAGTCTGGAAGTGGGGTGACCACTTAGTACAGGAAAGATGTGATGAGGGCCTTAACCTGGTGTTGATTATGTGGGTAAAAACAAAGGGGACAAACACCACAGGCCTACAAGGAGACACCTGAGGAGGCCTAGCTACTGATTAAATATGGGGGCTGGGAGGAGATTTGAGGGTGACTCTGAACAGGTGTCCTGAAGAGAAATCGGAGGGTTAGAAGGAGGGGTGGATTTAGGAGGAAAGATGAGTTCTGCTTTGGACATACTGAATTTGAGCTGTATGTGAGCCATTCAAGAGCAGGTCTCTACTGTGGCAAAACAATCACTGCAAACAAAGAAACCCAGGACTTCCATTTCTAAGACCCTTTGAAGGTCTGCAAAGCACCTCAGCTCCAACACCACAGTGACTGAGGGAAAACCATCATCCCCTTTTTCCAGATGAGAAAACTGAGGGTCAGAGAGGTCACACATATGGTAAGGAAGTATCTGAGACCTAGTTTCCACTCATCTCCTAAGGCCACAAATGTAGCCAAGACTCAGCTCTTCCCTTACAACTCCCATACAATGATACACATGCTGACCCACACCTCCAATACCAACCTTGCCAAGTCATTCCCAACTAGCTTTGTGGTCTTGGCCAAGTCACCGGTTAATACTAGTCGCTTTCTGCCATGGTCAGAACTATGCTTTAGGGAAAAAAAACAAAACACCTCAACGCTAGTTGTGAAAGGGTCAGATTAAGGCTCTCTGGGTCTGTGCCTTGAGGCCTCAAGGTGGATAATGAGGGCAGCAGGCCGGGAACTAGATTCGATTCAACAAACATTTTTCTAAGGTCACTTCCAGTTTCTCTTCTCGAGGCAGAGACATAGAAGAGCTCCTATATACACATCCATGCACGCCCACATACACTCCTTCGGTCCACACACATATAATGGGGTAGAGGCCCCATCACCTCTTTGCCTATTTCTTCCATTCACAGGAAGGATCCTTCTCTTTCTTTCTTAATGACCAACTGTTCTAACTGGTTCCCTCTCAAGATCAGAAATGCCCAAACCTGCTTTGAGTTGGGGGGAAGGAGGTTCATTCTTGCAATCAGAGAAAGATAAAGTTTAGCTAGCAGGGGACTTTATATTCATTAATCCACCTCCACCTCCCCCTCCCCACCCCACCCCACTCATTTATACTGACGAGGCAGCTGGAAGATCCCTCCGAGACACCACCCTCCCTTGTACTCAATTTAGGTTTTGAGGCCTCGGGGAATTTGCTACCAACCGAAAGTTTACCCCCACCTAGACCCTCCATCTACAATCCTTTAACAACTCTCAAGAACAGCCCCAGATATCTAGTCCCTTTCTTGGTTTCAATATGATCTTTGTTGTTGTTGTTGTTGCAATATAATCTTATTTCTGCTGATAGTTTGGTTTTTGCAGTATACTCTTTTACAAATTTATCGGTCCCCTCCCCGAAGCAACAAGTCATACTATGTAGGGAAAAAGAGAAAAAAAAAAGGCAGTTCAGCAAAACCAACCCGTTAACTGTGTGAGGTAAGTACAAGTAATATTCCATACCCCTAGTCCTCCACCTTTAAAAAAGGGAAGTCCGCCACCCCTTTAAATGAGAGCTACCGACCCAGAAAGGGATGTTCGGTTAGGACAGCTTAGCAACCGCCCCCACCCCCTATCCAAGCTCGTGCTTCCTCATTTGCCCCCTTGGGCCATTCCACGAGCCCCATCCAGCGCCAGGGAGGGGCTAGAGATGGGGTAGGCAAATTGAAGGGGGGGGTCAGGGAGCAGACCGGTCTAGGCTTATGGGGGCAGGAGGGAGGGTGGGCAGTGTTTGGGGTGCCCCGGGTTGCAAAGGTGAGGGGGGGGGCGAGGAGCAAGAGCAAAGCCCAGGAAGGGGGGGCCGGGAAGGGGGGGGGGGGCGGGGGCGGGGGGGGGGGGGGGGGAACAGGCGTTTTCGAAGAAAGGGAAGTAAAGGTTACAGGGAGGGCAGGGAGGGCAGCGATGGGAGCCAGGGCTGGCCCAAAGGATTCGCTCTGCGGCAGCGGCAGCCTGGCAGGCGGGGGGAGCGAGCAAGGGAGGAAGGGGGTGCCAGGGCAGAGCGCTGTAGGGCTTGGGGGCGGGGAGGGGAATCCGCTAAGAAGCCTTTGCCAGCGGGGGCCCAACCCATCCCAAGCGAGCGTGCTGGGAGGAGGAAGGCAAGGAGGTGGGCGGAGTGATGGAGAGGGAGGAACGAGGAGCTGGCTGTCGGGGGTGGGGCGACAGTGACATCACCTCGGAGCAGGCTCTTAAGCGGCCCCGAGCCGGGGGCAGAATTGTTCTGCCCGCTGGGGAGACAGCTAGGAGGTTAGAGCGGAGGAGCAAGGAATCGGCCAGGAGCCGGAGCTGCCGGAGACAGATCAAGGTTGGGGGAGAGCCTTTAGGGCTCGGGCCAGAGGGCCCCCCCTTCCTGCTCTGCAGGGCCGCCCAGCCGCTGGTCCCCGCCACGACCTTCTCGGCCGCCGACTTCTTCCAGAGTTTGCCGACAGCGGGCGTCCGCTCTCCCGCTTGCCCCTTGACATTCTATGCCTCCCGGAGTGCCCAGGTGAGCCTCGGGCCCCGCTAAGCCCCTGTAGGCGTCCTCCCTCTTGTAGCCGCCACCGCCACCGCCACCGCCGCCACCACCACCACCACCACCACCGTCGCAGCCGCCGGGCCGGGTCCCCAGCAGCTGTCCGCGTCTTCCCCCTCCAGCCCCGGACACACATGAGATTCTTTAGGCTGACTTTCAAGTGTTTTGTCGACTGCTTCTGAGTACCCCCCTCCCTCCCCCTCGAACCTCACAGCCCTTTATCCTCCCCCCAACTAGGGGAATCCCCATCCTTTCCCCTTCCCCTCCCCCCTCCCCTTCCCTCTGGAAAAAAATAATTTTTCCCCCCTCCCCAAATTCTGGGGGCTACTCCCTTGCTGCTCCCATAGATTCTGGGCTTGTGTCCCCCTCCCCCAATTGTTGGGGGCATCTACTGTCGACAGTTGGCGAATTCTTTAGAGGGGATTTGGGGAGACCACCTTGTGCGGCGGAGCACCTGGGCCTCCCAGGGTGTCCGCCCCCTTTAAAGGGGACAGGAGCACCTAGACAGTGTCCTTTGTATTCTCTCTGTGATCCCCCCTCACCCCGATCCGAGGCCTCTGTCGTCCCCCCCCACACACACACACACTCAAACACACACCCCTAGCCCTGCCCTAGTAGCGAGGCCATGGCGAAGAAGACCACAGAGAACGGCATCTACAGCGTATCCAGGGAAAAGAAGGGCTCGCTTCTAGACCCCGCAGACGGGGCCCCCCCAGTCAAGGCCGAGGTGATGGCCGCAGGACTGGGGGGCCCGGGCCCGGGCCTGGCCATCCCGCCCCGGGAGACATGGACCCGCCAGATGGACTTCATCATGTCTTGTGTGGGATTTGCGGTGGGCCTTGGCAACGTCTGGCGTTTCCCGTACCTGTGCTACAAGAACGGCGGAGGTGAGTGTAACTGGCCTGCCAGCCGGCCTGGCATTCTCATGAATGCTCACCTCGTGGTCCACGTCAGTCCCCCCGGGCCTTCTTGACATCCCCCCACGCCCCTCCGCCCAGGCCTTATCCTAGCCCCTTTGCCCCCCCCCCCCCCCCATGTCAAGAAGGCCCGCCCGGACTGACGTGGACCACGAGGTGAGCATTCATGAGAATGCCAGCCCCCCGCTTCCTCCAGTGCTGCTCCTGTTTTCTCGGACCCCATCCTCCCCATCTGCTTCACCTCCAGCTCCTAATCCTTGACAGACTTCTTTCCTCCATCTATCTCTCGCCTTGCCTCCCACCCCCTAGCCTACTTTTCCATTGCATTCTACACACACCCCTCCATTGCTCTGGTCATCCATCGGCCTTCCTCTCCTCCCTTTGGTCCATCCCTACCCAGTCAGAGATGCCAAAGTCCATGGACAGGGAGGACCCGGAAGGGGAGGGGAAAAGGTTTGTGTATAGATGGGGTGGGGTGGGGGGGTGGGGAAGGGATAGTAAGAAACACCAGCAGGTGGCCGGGGTCCTGAAGCCCCTTCCCCTCCCTGAGTCTGTAGTGCCTCCCCAGGGGTGGGCCCAGGCCTGCCCCTGTCATCACTTTGCTTACCCCAAAGGCTGGGGAGCTGGAAATGGAAGGATATCGGAGGCTTTTGGTTGAGGGGGGTGGAAGTGGGGGTTGGAGACCCGGGAATAGTTAAGGTGATTTTAAAGGCTAGGGAAGGCCTTTTCTGAAGCCTTTGGCCCCCTACCCAATCCATCTTAGGGGCTGACTGCCCCTTTAAGAGCATGGGCTCCTGGGAGAGCTTAGGAGGTGAGTCTGTCTGACTCGACCCCCCCCCATACCCACAGTGCCATACTGTGTGGGTGTACCCCTTGCCCCCCTGCATTGCACAATGGGCCAGTCTATCCAACTGCCTGTCACACTGGGTGCTTCTGCCCCCTTAGGCCCACAAGCCTGGGTTTATATGCACGTACTTACATGTGTTCTATGCATGTGTTTATCATTCATGCTCATCCACATGCTGTTACATGTGAATACATGTACATGGTTGGACCATGCATCACAGGGTACGTGCATTCATACAATCATTGCTCATGTGCATACGTGACTGCCATGTTGCATATTTTCTTGTATGCTCAAGGCTTATGGAGGTCATAATTTGCACCCTTAAGGATGAGGGGGTGCCAGTAGGGAGGGTGTGCTGTCTAGATACCGTTTTTATTATTGAGGGGCTGGAGAGTGAACAGGGTCATGGGGTTCAGGGTCCTAGCATTACTAGGGGGCTAAGAAGCCCTGAAATCTGATGCACCGCTCTGCTGTCTGGAATGGGGGAGGATTGGGGAGGATCAGGGCAAGAAGATAGTCCCAAACCCTCAGTATCTCAGTGGGTCATGGGCACTGCCACTGCATCATCTCTCCCTCCCCCGCCTTCCTGCCCCCCCCAAGTCACTGTCCTCGGTGGCCTTGACCATTGGGCTAGCCCAATCCTCAGTGCTTGAGGCCCTGGGGGAGGAGGGGGTGGGAAGGAGGGGGCAGGCTTCTATCTGCCTCCAGGGGAGAGAAACCTGGGTAAAAAAAAGCAGTGTCTCCAACCCAATTCAACAGGGCTGGGACTACGGCTGCTTCTGGTTGGCTATGTCTGCTGGGCTCATTCTCGTACCCTCCATCACCTCCTTTAGCCCACTTGTTCCCATGTCTCTGTCTCTTTTGGCCAGTCTCCCATTCTTCTCCCTGTCTTTTATCTCTGTCCCTCACTCCTGTCTTTCTATCTCTTGCCCCTGGTCCCAGACTGGGTCTGTGTTCCATTTCCTCCAGAAAGCTCTCCCTGGCCCTCCCATCTGTCCTTCTCTCCTGCCCAGGTTGTGGGACCCTGGGGCCCCTCCTTTGCTCACCAGCTGTCTCCACCCCCTGGCGAGGGTTTCTCTCTCACATGCATGCTCGTGGCTGTTGCGTCACATGACGCAGTGTGGCGCAGACACATGAGGCAGGCAGTCTGGGAGCATGGTTCACAATGTCTTGTAGGGATTACATGTGATCTGAAGCTTGAGGGGTCTTAGCTTTGTGTGGCCATATGCCTCTGGCTCAGTCTTATTTTGTGCTATTCACACCCACCTGTGTGTCTGTCTGTGTCTGTGTCTGACTGTGTGTGTTGCTAAGGAAGGCTCACTGGGGACAGCATCATGAATAACCAACATGACTGCATCTTCCCTCCATCCAACCCTCCCCCCTCCCTCCCATAACTGCCCCCCCTTTTTCCCAGAACTTGTCCTAACCTGCCTGGGGAGGAGAGGGTGAGGCCCCAGTAGGGGGTCTGGGCAATGAGAAGGAAGGCCCATCCCCTCCTGAGCCGACCTATAGAAATAGTCTGATGGCACCTCCTTCCCCTCTCTTCCCCACCCCTACCACCATCTGCCACTGACAAAGTTATCCCCCCCCCTTCCAATTTTCAGCTCCCCAGCCCCTGGAGTGAATAAGGCAGGGATTGCTGGAGCCTCAGGAGTCACTGCAGGTGGGGGGAGGGGCTTGCAAGTACCTCAGTTACTTATCTACTACGTTGTCCTAACCAGTCCCTTCCTCTCCCCTCTTCTAGCTACAAGAGCCAGAGGGAAGCAGTCTGATGGGGGGGGGGAGGTCTAGGTCAGAAGACCTAGTTTTGAATCCTGATTCTGTCATGGCTCTCCTAGGTCACCTTGGTTAAGTCAATTCCCCTCCAGGCCTCAGTTTCCTCATGTAAAATGGGGGGGGGGACTGGATTAGAGGATTTCTCCATTAGAGGATCTTTAAGGTCCTTTGCTTTTGAAGGTATGACTCCCCAAAAGCAGTCACTATGGAAAGTCCCATATCTGATAGACCAAAAAACCTGACTGTGTGGCAGGGTGGATAGCATGCTTTGAGTTGAAGTCAAGAAGACCTGAGTTTGAATTCTGCCTCAACACTTCTTAGCTATGTGACTCCTTTTTTGTTAACCAGCTTCTGTAAGCCCTAGAAGCCTGTGCCTGGCACAAGAGTGCCAGCGTTAGTGCCCAGGATAGCCTGAGAGGGGACATGGTTTCCCTGAGTGATATCTTTGTCTCTTGATAAATATATTGGTTTTTGTCACCTTCATTTCCAAATTATTTCACCATCCCTTAGTAAGCTTTTTTTTAAAGGAGAAAAGCAGATTCAGTAAACTATTTTGCTGAAACCAAACATAATTGGTTGATCTATATCAACCAATTATGACAATGAATTGCAGTGTTCCACACCCATAGATCCCCCCCCACCTCAAAGAAGGAGGGGGAAATCAGTACATTTCATTTTTAATTCAGTTGCCCATGATGGTTACTCAGTGTCACTTGTCCATTCCTGTACCCATCTGTTCCTCTGTCTCTTGGTCTACCTACCTCTTGTTCCATCTTAACTCCTGACTAGGAGCCCTGGCTAACCAGTCAGTCACATCTGATTGTCTGTGGAGACAGTCTGCTTTCTTGGAGTTTGAAAGCTCTCCCACTTGAGACAAAAGGACAGGATGTGACAGGCCAGCCACACCTCCCAATAAAGAGCCTGCCCAGGAGAGACTGGAGGAAGGCATGGCATTGGTTGTCCAAGTGGGCAGGGTAGCCTTCCTAGAGGTGGGGCCCCTTGAAAACAAGGTTAATTGACTTAAGACTGGGAGGCTAGGGGAAGTGTCCCACAAGCTGAGCCCAGTGGGATGGGGAGATACATAGGACTTTCTGGACAGCCCTCAACCTGGCCAATTCATTCTTCCTTATGGGGTAAGACAGGACCTCTCTCATGTGATGTTTATGGCTACCCTGGCAAGGATTTTATAAATAGGGAACTTTAGAGCTCAGAGGGGTTAAATGATTTGCCCACAGTTACGTCTGCTGGCTTCAGTGGGGAATTCAAACCCAGGTCTCCTCTGGGAAGAGATAGTCTTCTGAAATGACCTGGATGTGATTGGATTATGAACCAGATTGCTTTTCCCCCACAGGAGTATTCCTCATTCCCTATCTTCTGATTGCTGTTCTGGGAGGTATCCCTATCTTCTTCCTGGAGATCTCGCTGGGCCAGTTTATGAAAGCTGGCAGCATCAATGCTTGGAACATCTGCCCCCTCTTCAAAGGTTGGGACCTTTTGAGCAACTTTCTTCCCTCCTCCCCCTCCATGGGGCAAAGAAAGGAGGCCAGGGTCACCTAAGCTTGTGGGTCTGTGCTGAGGAAGGTTCTGGCTGGCTGAGATGGGTGGATGGAGCCCCTTGTAGAGAACTTTACTTCCTAGGCTGGGCAGGTTGGGTGCAATATTGGCCCTGATCATTTTCTCCTATCCCCAGGCCTAGGCTTTGCCTCCATGGTGATTGTCTTCTATTGCAACACTTACTACATTATGGTGCTGGCCTGGGGTTTCTACTACCTGGTGAAGTCCTTCACGGCCTCACTGCCCTGGGCCTCCTGCGGGCATGACTGGAACACCCCAGAGTGTGTGGAGATCTTCCGCCAGGAGGACTGTGCCAATGCCAGTGTGGCCAACCTCACTTGTGACCAACTCTCAGATCAGCGCTCCCCTGTCATTGACTTCTGGGAGTGAGTCTACCCCTCTAACCCAACCCCCCTACCCCCAGCTTGTTATGAGTATGGTTTGGCCCTGTGTGTGCCAATCAAGGGCCCCCTAATCCACCTCTAGTTTAGGCACCCTTTTCTTCCTGTCCCAAGGCACAACCCTTCATTCTCTTAACATCTCTCCATCCAGAAAGAAAGTCCTTCGCCTGTCCCCAGGTCTTGATGTTCCTGGGGATCTCAACTGGGAGGTGACCCTCTGCCTTCTAGCCTGTTGGGTTTTGGTCTACTTTTGTGTCTGGAAGGGAGTCAAGTCATCCGGAAAGGTAACTTAACTGCTCATGCCCAACTGATAAGGCCTGCCTTCTTAACCTCCAGGGCTCCTGAGTGCCCTCTAATTCAGCTCTTCTGTACCCTACAGTGCCCCAGACTACAGCCCTCTGCAGATAAAATTTGGACATCTAGGAAAAGGCCATAGGTCTCACAGGGAAATGCTGTCTCGTAGGTTCACAGCCAATCCATCATACCCATAAGTCTACACTCCTATACACAGAGGCAGACAATCCCCACTCATCTTCAGACTCTGAGCCCCTTCACTCCCAGACTCTTGAGGCTCATGGGCTGGGATATGGATGCTGTTTCCACAGCAACAGCCTAACAATGTTCCATACTGGCCCCTTTCCCAGTCCCAGCCCTGTTGGGGGAGGGGAGAGGAGCAGAGCCCTTCTCCCCTCCTGGTCTTGACTCTTCCCCCCCTTCCCCAACTGCCCTCTTGGTCAGGGGTCGGAGGACACTGGCATTCCCTCTGCCCAGAGGCCCTGCCCCTGCCGTGGATTCTCTAGAATCCAGTATGGAGTTGGAAGAAGGGGGGAGAAGGAGATCCTAACTGCCTTCTTCCTCTCTATTCCTCCCCTCCCTGCTCCTGACCTGACCCCATTGTCAGGGATGGTGGAGGGGGGTGGGCAAAGAGGGGGATTGGAAATGGTTAGTCCTTGGGGCCTCCTAGGCCTCTAGTATTCAGGCAATGAAGGAGACAGAGGCTAAGGGGCAAGAGGAGTGGGGGAAGGGGGGGATTTGGAAGCACAGGAAGATGAGAGAACAGGTGAGCAACAAAGGCCTGGGGCCTCAGAAGAGGAGAGTTTGCATGTGCCAGACCCCAAAGGTCCCTCCCTATTCTGATCCTTGCATCCCCACCCCTATAGCCTGGGCAGCTGCTGGGGGGGGGGGGATTAGAAGACCCAAGGTCTTGAGCAGAGCTTCCAGTGGGGCTGAAGAGAGGCAGGTCCTAAGAGGAAACCCAGGGAAGGAGGAGGCTGGGCTAAGCTGGGAAGCCTAGCTGGAGGAGGGAGATCTTGGAGTGTCTGAGCCTTGGCCCTCTAACTGGGGCTTGGTACTCATCTTGATGCAGATTGTTTATTTCACTGCTACATTCCCCTATGTCGTCCTCCTTGTCCTGCTGGTGAGGGGGGTCATGCTGCCAGGAGCATTGGATGGCATCATCTACTATCTCAAGCCTGACTGGTCCAAGCTGGGATCTCCACAGGTGAGCTGCTTCCCCACCCCCAATCTCTAATCTTCCTTCCAGAAGTGGAAATTCCAAGTTTAGATACAGCAGTCTGCCACAAATAAGGCTCTTCCCAGCCTTAATGAAAATGGCCCAGTGAGGCAGACCAGGAAACTCATTCACTTCTAGTCTTAATTGCCTGGGGCACTGAGAAGTTAAGGTACCTCTCCAGAGTCACTTAGCAGGAGTTGAACTTGAACCCAGGTCTTCATTTTGAGGCCATTCTATCCTAGAGTACTTTGCCTCTAAGGCTTGGCATCTGCTCTCCCCTCCCCCATTTACAAAGGAGGAAACAAGTATTTTGTTTGTATTCTCAGCATCCTCCATTGGCCTAAAGCAGGGTACGTGCTTATGAGGGCAGGAATCCTGCCCTCTCTCAATTTATCTCTGGGCTGTATTATATGCCAATGTCTGCCTGGCCACTCAAAGCCTGGCAATTGGAAGGCAGCGGTTCCTGCTGGGGTCCTGGCCCCTAGGTCCCCTGCCTTGGGCCTCCTGACCGCTTGCTCATTGTATGTACATTCTCTCCTCCCTGCCCCGCCCCCCACCCCACCCCAGGTATGGATTGATGCTGGTACACAGATCTTCTTTTCCTATGCCATCGGCCTGGGGGCACTCACAGCTCTGGGCAGCTACAATCGTTTTAACAACAACTGCTACAAGTAAGGAACTGCCCCCTCCCCAAGATGCTTTCTTCTCTGGAACTTAGAACTTCTTCTCCTCCCCCCCCCTTCCCCAAGCCACAGTGGCACCCACTAATTCTCTTCTCTGTCCCAGGGACGCCATCATACTCTCACTCATCAACAGCGGTACCAGCTTCTTTGCCGGCTTTGTGGTGTTCTCCATCCTAGGTTTCATGGCCATGGAACAGGGTGTGCACATCTCCAAGGTGGCTGAGTCAGGTGTGTGAGGGGCTGCCTGCTGGGGCAGGGATGGGCAGGTAGAGATCATTTAATCTAGTCCCCTTTGATACAGGAAATCCACGTGTGCAAAAAACTAGCTGCCTAGAAAAGTTGAGATATGCCCCAAGGTCACATAGGTGGTGAATGGTAAAGCCAGCATTTGAACACACACAACGTACATACACATAGGCACACAGGCACAAAATTATGGGAGGCCCTGTAGTGCAAAGGAAAGGGTGGTATTGATTGGTATTGGGTTAGGAGTCAGAAGCTCCATTCAAAGCCCTATTACCTTGGCTCCTGTGTGACCCTGGGGTACTTATCAGTGATGTTTTTTTGCCCCACATCAAGTTAGTTGGCTTCAGTATTCTGGAGTTTGGCCTCTAAGTGGTCTCTAAGTGGCTACTAAGGCATCCCCCAGCTCAAATCTGGGAGCCAGAGCCTGGGAGGTAACAGGAGCTGACGTTTCTAGCACATGGAGGTTTACAAAGTGCTTTTAGTCCATTTTTCTCATTGGACCATCACCAATTGTGGGAGGGTGCTGCTCTCCTGGCATTATCCTTGTAGGAAAGGAAACTGAGCCCAGCCTAGAGTGGTCATGTGTCCAGAGTCCTACAGCTAGTAGGAGTTAGAACTCGGGGTTCTCTGACACCAAGTCCTCAGCACGTTTTGCACTCCACCAAGCTGCCTAATATTTCAACACGAGGCGGTGGGGTGTCCTGCAGCAAACAGCTGTCCTGCCAGTTGGGTGAAAGCCCCATAGGTCTGAGTCAAGTAGGGGTGAGTACTGAGCTCCTGGCCCAGGACAGAAGAGAACCATGAGGTAGCTCTAATCTCCTTCCCTTTCTTAATTGCTGTGTTCCCTGGGCTCTGCAGGGCACTCCTGAACTGGAGGAAGCCAGGAAGAAAAAAAATTCACTGGGGGTCAAGAGGGGAGGGAACTTGTTCTCTCCCCCTGTTCCCCCCAAACTCTGGTAGCCAGTTTCTAGGAGTACTATTTTTGCTAAGGGAGGGCTGGAGGGGGTATTCTGGTCCAGTGTAGTTTCTTTTGCTTTGGCCCCTGCTGTGCTGCCCCAAGGGTTAATGGGTGACCTCTCTGGTTTCAGCAGCTGCTGCAGACCAGCTGCCCCTCCCTGGTTAGAGATCAGATGTCAGACTGGAGGAGGGGAATGGAAGGAAGGCACAGTCATCAGATTCTGATTGGGGGTGGGGGGGAGTTGGAAGGGGGGAGTTGGAAGGAGGGTCATGGGTATGGGGACTTGAGAGGCCTTAGCCTCTTGGGTCCTTGGGTGGTCCTTGGGTAAACAGACAGGTCAAGGTAATGTGCTGCTCAGAGGGGGATGCCTACCATGAGACAAACAACATGGAATTCAAAGAGCCAAGAGTCTCCATCTGATAGGTGCAGTGGGTGCATGAACACCCTGGGGGTGGGGGAGGGCTGCTGAACAAGCCTGTATCTCTTCTCTGCTATCCAACAGGACCAGGGCTGGCCTTCATTGCCTATCCCCGGGCTGTCACTCTGATGCCTATGGCCCCACTCTGGGCTGCCCTCTTCTTCTTCATGTTACTGATGCTTGGCCTGGACAGCCAGGTGGGTCCTGGGCTAGGAGGGAGGCTTCTGGGAGGGCCTAAACCAGCCCTTGAAGGCCAAGGGGAGGCAGCCTCCAGGTCTAAGCTATCTTGTCGTCCCCCCCACCTTGGTGTTCTGTTGGGCTGCAGTTCGTAGGGGTAGAAGGATTCATCACTGGCATCCTGGATCTCCTCCCGGCCTCCTACTATTTTCGTTTCCAGAGGGAGATCTCTGTAGCTGTGTGCTGTGCAGTCTGCTTCATCATTGACCTCTCCATGGTTACTGAAGTAAGTTGGAAAGCCGGGGGAGGGAGAAGGAAGAGAGGACACAGGCAAGATCTTGAACTTCCCATCTGACCTTGACTTCTGTTCCCCTCATTGAAGGGCGGCATGTACGTCTTCCAGCTGTTTGACTACTATTCGGCCAGTGGTGTGACTTTGCTATGGCAGGCTTTCTGGGAGTGTGCGGTGGTTGCCTGGGTTTATGGTAAATGGAAGCATGGGGAGAGACCATCTGTTTGGGGTGGGGGAGGTGGGACTTTGTGGCCTAGATAGGCTAGTGGGAGGAACTGCATTGATCAGCTCTTTCTCCCCACTCCCACCCCCAAACCCATCCTGTCCACTAGGTGCTGACCGGTTCATGGATGATGTTGCCTGTATGATCGGCTACCGGCCTTACCCTTGGATGAAATGGTGCTGGTCCTTCTTCACCCCACTGGTCTGCATGGTAACAGCTAGGGAGGGGGATGTGCGGGATGTAACTTAGAGGATCACTAAAGATGGGAGGGAGGTTGGTTGGGGGAGGGGTGCAGCCAGTGGCTGATGGAAGGGTGGCCACCCACTAGTAACAAGTATGACTGCTAGCCTTAATTCCTTTCAGGGCATCTTCACCTTCAATGTGGCATATTACAAGCCACTTGTATACAACAACACCTATGTGTACCCGTGGTGGGGCGAAGCAATGGGCTGGTGCTTCGCCATTTCCTCCATGCTGTGTGTGCCACTTTACCTACTGTACCACCTCCTCGGGGCCAAGGGGACATTCATTGAGGTCAGTCTCCCCAGTCTGCCTTGGCTGAGGGCTTGCTTTACTGTCTGTCTGCCTTACAATGCATCTGGAATCATCACAACCCTTTGCCTATTCTAAAGTCCATCTATTGTCTCTAGAGCCTTGGGATTCTTCCTTTTGTACAGATGAGGAAACTGAGACCCCAGAGTTTTAAGTGACAGACCTATGGTCACAGGTCACCAGGCCAAGCTGCCTTCTGGAGTGCTTGGCCTATTTTAAAACCCGGTGGGGCGGTGGGTGGGATTTACTCCTCCCCAGATCAGCTCCCCAGTCTCAATAGAAAGGCTTACTCAAACACCAATGGGCATTGCCCAAGTGTGCTGAGCCCAAGTAGTGGCACAGACACTGAGAGCTAGACCTTGGAAAAATGGAATTGGCCCATGTTGGGGGGAGATAAATCCCTAGGAAGAATCTGGGGAGTTTGCATTACCATTAACTCACTGTGGAAGTGTGAGAGGCTGTAGATAGCCCTGTGCTGTTAAGGGAGTGCTGAAACTAAACCTTGTTCTGGGTGTCACTGGGTTGAGCAAGTGGACAGGCCCATGAGAGGCTATTGGGAGGCAAGGGACCTTCTGGGAAATTGGCAAGAGGATTCCTGGCCAGGACCCTATTAGGAGGAACTAACCCTCCCCTATCCTTTCTCCCCTCCAACTCAGCGTTGGCGTGACCTGACCCAGCCAGTGTGGGGTCTCCATCACTTGGAGTACAAGGCTCAGGACTCTGATGTCAGGGGCCTGACCACCCTGACTCCAGTGTCTGAGAGCAGCAAGGTCATCGTGGTGGAGAGCGTCATGTGACCTGCCCTTGAGGGGGTGGGGCAGGAAGGGGGCACCTGCCTCTGCCCCAGTGCCCAAAGCCAATGGGGAGAGACAACCACTGCTCTCCCTGTCCTTTGCCTACCCACCCACCCCCCCACCAGCCTCCCTTCTTGTAGCCATAGTAAACCCCCCTCTCACTCCTTTCAACCCCCTTCACTGAGACCCTGGGGAGGGGGAAGCCTTTTCTGTATGATATTGATAGAGGGGACCCGGGTCAGGCTGGGGCCATGGTGTATGAGTGCTTGAGTTGAACTGGTTTTCTCTTTCTTTTTTAAAATAAAAACCAAAAAAAATATAAAATTCTAAACACCACCAAAATCTAGACCCCACCCCCACCCCCCCCCCCCCCCCCGGCCCCCCGCCCAGGTAGCAGCGGGAAATGGTTTCCCCCCTTATTTTCCCCCCCCCCCCCCCCCCAGCTGGGGAGGAAGCTGACCTCCAGAGGAGCAAGCACCTTTTTGGTGGATTGGGACTCCCTTGACCCCCTGGGCCTCCACTACAATTGGGTCCCCTCCATCCTACATGGAAGCCAGCTGCAGCTGTGTGTATCTGTTGTGTCTGTGTGTGGTGTGTGTCTGTTGTGGTGTGTGTTGTGTGTATAGCTGGAGTAAACAATGAGTATCTTTCCTCCTCCCAACCCCTCCCAGAGCTTGTTGGATAGGAATCTTCTGGCCCTGATCCTCAAGCCCAATTTCCTGACAACCCACCAAGATCAAGGTGTGTGTGTGGGTGGGTGGTATTTGCGTGCGCATGTATGTGTACATACAGTGGCTATATATATATATATATATATATATACAGTATATAGATATATATATGATACATATATATACAGTATATAGATATATATGGAATTGAGAATACCAGGTGTAAGTTATGCCTGAGGGCAAAGACTTGTATTTTGCACATTTTGTAAAAACTCTAAGAGAAGAGTGATTTCTGCCTGTATATTTCTAAAAAGAGAAACAACCCTCCACCCCCAACCCCAAGACAGCCTGATAGAGATCTAATTTTGTTAGAAAAAAAAAAAAGCTGAAAAAAAGCCTCATCCTGGTTTTTGTCACAGGTTTTTGGTCTTCAGGCCTTCCTTGCTCACTACCAAGAGTGGTGAGGGGAGTTCAGGTCTGGGAGGCCAGATCCCTGACTCTGCCCCCTCCCCAGCAGCTATGTAGATTGAGGCCTGGCCTTTTAGGAGGGAGGGAAGGGGCGTCTCCCAAAACACCAGCCTGGCACAGCCCATGGTGCCACTGTTCACACCCCCACCCCAGCCCCTTCCCTTAATGCCATCCCAGGAAGGGCAGAGTAATAGATCTGGGGAAGGAAGGGGCACTGGACGGTACCTTAGAACCCCTGCCCATGTCTTCCCCCCCCCCCTTCTGTCTGCACTTTGCATCTCTGTCTTCCACATAGAAGCTTTAATCCGCCTTGTGTCAAAAAAGCAAAAACCCTGACAGACAGCCAAAATGGGACCCCACGGAGCCCAGGCCCACTCTAGGTCTTGGGGGACCCTGGGACGTTCTGACTGCTAAAAAGCCACCTGCAAACATAGCAATAAAGACATGTCATTTTTCAACTTGTTGCTGTCTTTCCTTTAGGGGACAGGTGCCACCAAAGTGGGTTTGCAGGTCCTTCCCCAAAAATCCTATACATGATCACTCCCCTATATCATGTGACAGGTCTAGTGGCCCCAATTCACAACTTCTATCATTTCTCTCCATACTTGGGCAGATTTCACATGGGCAGAATCTCCAAATCTCTTGGCATTCAAGTCCCTCAAAATTGGATCTTGGGATCACTTTTCCAGGTTTAATGGATGGCCTTTCCATAATCCATGCCTTTCTTTGGATTCTGAAGTCTCCCTCTCTACCAGTGCTTGCTCAGAATCTCTTTCCTGGGGGCACTTAAAAAGCCCAAGGTCTACTCCACAGACCTTTCTGTCCTCCTAAGCTGCCCTGCCTTTTTGACTCACTCTTTGCCCCACAGCTTTCCTGATTCTACCTTCAACCTGAAGCCCTGGCTTTCAAGGCCACGTGGGATAGGCATGCTCCCCTGCAGTTTTACCCCTCCTCAAATTACCCCACACTTTCTTCAAGTTGAGTCTTTGGATTCCCTTGCACTTACGTGCTTTTAAAAAAGTTGAAACTGAAACAATTTCTATGAAATCTTTAGACTTGTCACAATGTAGGCAGAATGGCTTCTCCCAACCCTGTTTGCTTCCTTGTTTTCCTTCTGCCACGTCTCACTGGGCAGGTTTCTGGGGCTCACCTTTGTGAGTGGGCCTTTTTCAAAGGTCATGGCCAAACATGTCCACAGTTCAGCTCAAATAAACCCTAGTTTAGGAAATGCTGCTTGTCTGCTTTTTCTGATGTCTGCTTATGGCTCTTAACACAAATTTAACGGGATCCTGGGTGGGGGTGGGGGGGGTAAGGGCGGTGGATCCCCCTTGGTTGGTGGGGGGTTAGGGCCATTTTCCCTCCATTAGTTTGGCCAGGGACTACTCAGCTTCCTTGAGCTTGGGAAAGCTCATAGAATTGATCACCTCTTTCCTCATCCTCATTAGGGTTGTTGTGAAGTCCAAATGAGATAACAGGAGATAACAAACATTATTAAATCATTAAATGCTATTATTGAATTGGTTGCTAGGCGGTGGATTGGGCTCCCTCCGTTTTGGTATTTGCCTTGAATCTTGGAAATGAGGAGTTGGGGAGAAATCACTATCCCACAAACTTCAGGACTACAGGACAGTGTCTTTTCAGATTCTGTACAATCTGACTTGCTTGCTCCTTGACCTTTTCCAACCAACTTTCTTTGGTCCCTTTGGTCTCTCCCGAACAGGAAGCTGGGAAACCAGCTGGACGCCAAATGTTTTTGGATATGATGGGGCTTCCTAGTTCGAGCTATATACCTGACAGGGTATATAGGATTCCCTCAACAGGGAATCCAACCATATCTGGGACCTCTCCCCAGCTAGAAGCCTGCTACTTTGGGGCAGGATATATGTGGAGTATATGGAGCCTACTTCACTTAGAGCCAGCCTTCCTTTCATTATCTCCCCCATTCCTACTTAAGCCTAGTAAATTTAATACCCCCTCCCCAACCAAGAAGACATGGCCTCTCCTCAGAAATCACCTCCCTGAAGCCCACTCAGTTTTTAGTGCTTTCCCAAAAGACAAGCCCCACCTTCACCTGTTGGTGAAAGTGACAATCCTTCCCTGCCCAGGTAGGGCAAGCCCTCCCTTAGCTCTGAAGAGGGCTGTGTTAACTAGTCACTAGTTGTGGAGATTTGGAAACAGGATCTCAGAAGGGGAGGGATGATTAGCCTTTTTGACCCACTCTGTCCCACAGCTTTCCTGACTCTACCTTCAACCTGAGAAGCCACATGGGACAGGCATGCTCCCCTGCAGTTTTACCCCTCAAATTACCCCACATTCAAATTACATTGGGGGTGGCAGAGGGAGCTTAAAAGGAAGGCTGAAGGATGAAGAACCCTACCAAAGTCTCTGCTGTAATACAGCATAATAATGTAATACAGCATAATAATGCTGTAATACAGTTCAGGCTCCTCTTCCCTTTCCATCAAGTATCATGTATCCATCATGTATCCCCAAGAGCCCAGAGGTGGGGCTTTCAGGCTCCAAAGGGCAAATGTATTATTTGCCACAAATTATATGTAAATTTATAATTTAATATAATTTATATGTATTTATTATTTTTTTAAATTTTAATTACTTATTATATTTAATTTATAAAATAAGTAAATTATTTCCCACACCTTGTACACGTACATACAAGGTAGAAGGGCAGGAATGAAGTAGCTACCTACCGTGTATCTACAGATGAACAGGGAAAAAGAAACCCAGAAGTTTTGGAAGTCTGGGACATCCAGACTTTTCTAACTCAATAGCCCCTCAGACTATGAGGAATCTTCTCTTTTCTGTGCCAGCCAGATCCATGCAGTCCACACATGTCAAGTCGCTTTGATTAACAAACTTTATTTCTCCAAGAGAAGCTGGGAACTACTCCCAGACCAAGTCCAGAAGTACCCACACACTGGAGAGATTCCTCATCAAGAAAAAAGCAGAGGGCTCTTCATAGTAAAACAGCCACCACCCCAAACCAAATGCCCAACCAAATCTCAGGTGCCCCCTCCTCAGGCAGCTAACCCTTTTGTTCTTTGGAATAGGAAGAGATGAAGGTAGGGAAAGCAAGGGGGACTAAATGAGAAGGGGCTCAAGCTTGCAATCATCATATCTAGGCACTCTACCCTTGCTCCCACCCCCAATTGCTGGGGTTGCACTCCAGATTCAGGGTAATGAGGAGGGGAAGGGGGGTGGTTCAGTGGTCAAAGTTGGTTTATTTACAAGCTGAGCAAAAGTGAAAGCCCAAAGCAGTTATGTCAGCAGTGGGGTATATGGAGCTTGGGGAAGGCATGGATCCCCAATACCAAGGGAGTGAGGGACAGGGAGCATTCCTTGAAGTTCCCCCCTTTCCAATGTGACCCAGAGAGAAGCAGCTGCTTGTGATGGGGAAGAATAGAAGCCAACTGATGGAAGGAGGAAGAAGATCGAAAGAGGAAGGGAGCCAACCCCTCACTCTTCTTTCTTGTCTGTCGGCCCATCCACTGCAGCCTGGAGAGGGAAAGAAACCAGAGGAACAGGATGGTACAAGTGGTCCCAATTCCCTCTTGGCAATGGAGAGAGAGTGTGCACCCAGACCTATCCCTGTGCCTCTGGCCTTTAAATAACCCTATCCTCTTGCCCAAACATCCTGGTTTTGCCCCCTTCCCACCTAGGAAGTATCCAGGCTGGGGATGGAGAGGGGTAGGAATGTCAGCCTCCCAAATCTCAAATCCAAGTTAAACTTTAAAAAGGGGAGGCTCTCCCCATCATCCCTGGCAGTAGCTCTGAGTCTTGGAGCCTGTGGCTGTGATGTGGCTGCCAGGACCCAGCCAGGAGCCTGGTGCCTGAGACAGGGATTGAGTGAAGCCTGGGAAGACAGCCGAGCGGACACTTCAGGAGGGGCTAGGAGGCTGGGCCCCTGCCAGGGTGGGGCCAGTTGGAAGGGACCAGACTCTCCTGTTTACCTTCCCAGAGCACCAGCAAGAACCAACTCTACCACCTACAGCCCCACCAGCCCCTGTACCCCCTGGGCCAAGGCCCCACCCCCAAAGCCTGGCCAACCCAAGCTGCTAGCCCAGAATGTCTAACTGCTTTTGTAACTCCAGCAACAGCTAAGGCTAAGGGAGGAGAAGCGGAGTAACTGCTACCACCTCTACCCCCAGCTACCCACTGACATTGGGTGGCTCCCTCCCTCACCTCCCATCAGCTGGGCTATGACATCCCAAGGTGTGGCAGGAGCCCACAGGGTCAAAGAGGGCAATGACAAGAAAGCAATAAACAACCTTTAAGGGCTGAAACAACCTCCTTCGTTACTTTGGGCCTCAAGCTCTGGCATCCAGTATGGACACCAGAGCATGGCAGCTGCCAGGGCCAGTACCTAAGGACCTCCATGGCCAACCATCATATGGCACCCAACCCAGGACTGGTCGTGATTGCCCAGAATAGCTGCTGGGGGCCTATAAATAACTCCCCACCCCAACCTGAGACAGGATCACTTGGGCTTCCAGAGACTGCCCTTGTGGTTTCAGAGCTATTCTGGGGTAAGTATGGGGGTATGTGGGAAAGCTGGCCCACACCCCAACCTGTCATGTCCATCTGTGACTCAATAGAGGGCAACAGGCTGCCATCACTTCAGCAGGCCTTCCGGGCCCAGATGTGTGGCCAGGGAAGGGCACACTGCTGGCTTTTTTCCCCTCTGCTACGTCCAAGGGGAAGGGCACACAGATTGGTGGGTGGGGGGAGGGCCCAAGCTATTCCCTCTGAGCCACGGCAACTAGAGGGCCTGAATGGAGAAAGAAGCCACAAGCATGTTGGTTTCTCTATTTCTCGTAATTCTGCCAGGTGGAAGAATTGAGGCGGTGTGTACCCTGGAGTGTGGAGCCAGAGCTCTGCCTCATTTTCTCAACTCTGTCCCAGGACTTGGTAGGGACACTTTACAATGAAAAATAGGAGGGCCCAAGAGAGATGTAGAGACAGAGAAGACACACAAAGAAATCGAAGAGATACTGAGTAGCTGCCTGAAGCCACCCAGACAGCTTCCAGCATCATTCCCACACCCGAGGCATCCTGGCAAGGAGCCCAAGAGCATGCTCTCCATCAACCACAGGTGCTGGCTTCCAACAATTGGCATCACTTGGCAGGGGGAGGGGCTGGGGGCTATGTGGGCCCTCTCCTGCTCCTCTGATAGTTTAAGAGGTCCAAGGTCAAACTGGTTTCCTTTTCTTCCATTAAACGCTCTCAGCATCCCAGGGGATGGAGCACCCCCTCTTCATCCTGGACACTGCCACCCCAGCACCAATCCTACACATACCTGGAGGCGGTTATGCTCCTCCAGCAGACGGTCATACTCCTTGGTCAGCCCTTCTGACTGCTTGCGCATGGCCAGAGCCTCATTTTCTGCTCTCTCCAGGTCTTGGGAGGAGACAGGACACAAATTAGGGTGGGAGGCGTGGCCTGTGGTCTGCATGCCACAGTCCATTTTTCAGGGTCTTCTTGGCCAATGATAAGAGAGGTTGGGAAGAGTCACTGTCTCTAAAAGAAGCTTACGCATGCTTTGGAAATGTCTGTCTGCCCTCTTTCTCCTTGTGTCCACATACAGTCTTAGAGGCTAGAGGACTATGGTAAGGAAGAAAGGAGGTGTGCCACAAAAAGGCATCCCAATGCCACAAAAGGATGTTGTGAGAAAGCCAAGGCCATACCAACCAAGTGTCGACATCTAGGTGATATGTGCATCCACAGTTTGCTGCCAAGATATGCTGGCAACAACGAATAGTTCAATATCCACCAGGTTTGGAGGGTAGTGAGGGGTGGGGGAGGTAAAGGGAGCAGAGTTTGGGCAAGGAAACATCATCTCTTAGGACCTTCCCCCATTTGCTAAGACTGAGCTAAGCTGCTCAATCTCTATAACCAGAAGTCTCCGGAGAAACAGGGAGCAGTCCAAAGCCTGGGGCGGGGGGAGGGAGGGTGTGTGTGTGAGTATTAGAGAGAACAGATGGGAACAAAGGGATGAAATGACTTGGGGAAGCTCATGGCTGATCTGGATTTATGAGAAACTCAACTGTCCACTCCCTTCCTGAACTTTTCTCTTTGTGGCCTTTGAACCTTCTTTCTACCATCACCACTCCACCCCCAATACCCCTTTCTGTTCTCAGCTCAAAGGTATCTCTGGGCTCCCCACACCTCCCACTTGGCATAGCTATTCTACATTGTGTGCTGCTGCAAAACACTATCCCAGCTTTCTGTATCCACTAGCACTGCCAGCTCCTGACCTCTGCTTGGCATTGCTGGGCCCCATGATAGCTTGGCATACACATAAGTGTGTGAATGGAGGGGGGGCTGGCAGGGAAGAGCAGAAGAAGCTGGTTTTTTGTTCCCCAGCTTCCCAGAACAGGAGGCAGCCCAGGGGTCCTCTTGTCAAGGGCCCAGCCCTTACTTCGCTTGCTGACAGCCAGCTCCTCCATGAGTTTCTTGAGCTCAGCCTTCAGGTTTTTGTTCTCCACTAGCACATCATCGTTCAGGTCCAATTTACCACCATCTGTGCCAGCTTCCTAGGAAAAGCACCAAAGAGGCCCGGATTACCCAGCTCTCTGGGGACCCAGACCCACCCTCACCTCCCAATCGAGTAGCCATGTTAGGGAATGAGGGAGGAAAGCCTGTCAGCCCAGGCCTAAGCCCCTCTGAGTGGGCCAAAAGGAAGTCATGTCCACAGTTTGGGCTAAAGTCTTTATCAAAAGCCAGCCTTCGGAGTGGTGGGGAAGGTAGAGGAAGGCCATTTACTCGCTTACAACCTCCATATCCAATCTGTTGCCAAGGCATGTTGATTCTACCTTTCTAATAGCTTTCATGTACACCCCCTGACACTGCCCCCATTCTGGCGCAGGCCCTCATCTCATCATGCCTCGACTACTCCAATAGCCACTGAGGCGTTTGCCTGCCTCAGCTCTTCCCCCACTCCAATCCAGCCTCCACTGAACTGTCAAATTGCTCTTTACAAAGCACAGGTCTGACCATGGCACACATCACCCCTTCCCGCTCAGTCAGCTTCACTGGCTTCCTATCATCTCCAGGATCAAACAGAAAATCCTGCTTGACATTCAAAGCCTTTCCTAACCTGCCCCCTCACACACACACCTTTCCAGTCTTCTTCCACTACTCACTCCCTTGTACTCTGCAATCTAGTGACACCGGCCTCCACACAAGACCCTTCATCTCCCAACTCTGGGCATTTTCACTGTCTGTCTCCCATGCCTGGAATGTTCTCCCTCTTCATCTCTGCATTTTGGCTTCCACCTTCTACAGGAAGCCTTTCCTGATCTCCCTTCATGCTACTGCCCTCCATCAGTCAGTCAATAAACATTTAGTAAGTACCTGCTACATACCAGAAAGTATGCTAAGTGCTGGGGATTCAAAGGGAGGCAAAAGCTAAACCCTGTCTACAAGGATCATCTCCAATTTATCAAGCACTTAATAAATGCTTGTTAACTGGATATGTGTCAGAATAAGGACCAGACCTGAACCTTCTCCCCCATTTCCAGCCATCCCCTTCTCACCAGAAGAAATAACTTTCCCTTACCAATAAATGGACCCAGCAGGTTGCCCAATTCTAGCTAATCTCCTTGGCCTGGTCTTGCCAATGTCCCCTCTAATCACACCAATCAATCCCATTTTATTCCTCCCTGCCTCTGACTGTGCACTTCAGCCAAGATAACACCGTGAGCAACATCCATTTAGCCCCTCAACCAACAAAGTCTTCCAAGACTGACCCAAGGCAACTCTGGTTGCTAACTCCTCATCTCTATCCTCTCAGCACTTAGGGATTTAAGCCTAACCTAACTTAGCAGTTAGATACTGCCAACATATTGGTGATTTGACATTCTAGGGACGAGAGAAAGAAAAAGGGAAGCCCAGATCCTAGCAGGAGTATCTCCTAAAGCCAAAGATGGTACCTGTTCCCACCTGCCCATCTAGCTAGAATGGATTCCCCTAAATAATAGCCCTTTAGCTCCGATTTCTAGTCTAAGGACCTTATAGTTCCCAGTAAAAGGCTTCACCCACAGGCACCACCCCAGCCAGGCTGCTGGCTGACTGGTTTACCTCAGAAAAAACCCAAGGGTATGCTGGAGCCAGCTCGAACTGGCTATCAAACACCAATCGACAAATCAGGCCTTGATTTATTGCTCTGTTGATTGTCTAACGCAGGGGTGGGTAAACGACAGTCCCACTGACCCGTGATTTTGTGCAGCCTGCTTTTGCACTGCCCCCGCTTGAGCTAAAAATGATTTTTACATCTTTTTAAATAAAACATAATTTTATTTAAAAATGTAAAAGCCATTCCTAGCTCATGGGCCTTCAGGCTGTAGTTGCCAACCCCTGGTCTAAACTTAAAAAAGTGATGGAGAAAAAGTTAATAATGCCCATTTAAAGCATTTCCTGCACATATTCCTCCCTAAGATACAGCTGTTGACCATTTATCAGCACACCCTGGGAAAAATCCCTAGGGAAAGAGAAAGTGAAAAAGAAAACCAGAGTAGGGGGTAAGAAATTCATTCTCTTAACAAGGAAAACCTTAGAGATGAATCATAGGGGCACCTGGGATTGAGTCAACACCACAGAGTACAGCCCACCCACCCAGGCTTCTTGGGTCTTGCCACAGACCAGCAGTTTTACAAGATGTTGTCAGCAGGGACATTTCCAGGCAGTACGGGGCGAGGCCGCTCAGGGCCCTGGCAGCTGAAGCCAGAGCAGGAGCCCTTGTGCTTGGCCAATCACTCCAGGCTGCCCACCTGGCACAGCCCCAGGGCTATCACATGGTAAAGGGAGGGGCCAGAACTCACCTTCTTCAGCTTGTCATTTTCTTCTATGTATTTCTTGGCAGCCTCACTGGCACCCTCAGCCTGTTTTTTGAAGGCTTCATTGGAGGCCAACAGTGTGGCCTGCTGGGAGATAAGGGTCACCAGGCGTCTGAGTAGGCTGTGATTGTTTAAAAAGGAAGAGAACGATGTTTAAAGGGGGGGAAAAAAAAAGGAGCCAGAAAGCTTGACTTCCAGCTTCTCTCCGGCCCTGACTGACACTTCTGGGTTAAAGGGAGGGCACCTGCAGCATCCCTGATAAGTAAGGCACCCATGACACTTTATAGCTGACTTAGTCTGCTCCCCATTGACCTCACAGAGAGACAGGCCCCACCCTCAAAGGTGCAGGGAAGCAATCCCATCTGGTCACAAATACAGATACCTGAAGATCTGTCTCCAAGAGCACACCAGGGCTGCTATGCCTTATCAAACCCACTCCTTGAGAATGGGCTTTTCTTGGTTTTTGTTTTTAAGGGGAGGAAGAAGACTCACACTAGGGTCCTTGGAGACAAAGTGAGAAATGCTGAATGGACTCCCTTACAGCCTAAACCTGCTGGTGATCTGTATCATCTAGACTTGGCCCTGGCCCCGTAAGTGTAAGGCCCAGAGGGAGCCAGAGTTGTGTAGGGCATTTCCAACAGGGATGGAGAGGATGCTACTTTTAACTCCCACAGGGCAAGCCACCTTGTGGCACCAGGCCTGCCTTGTGTAGTAGATGGCAGCATCTGTGGGAAGGGTAGACCCTTAGACCCTACTTTTAACTTCCCCTTACAAACTTTCCAGGTGTTCATCTCAGACACCCAAATCCTGACAGCCACCACATAAGGCAGGACTCACATGTAAAACAAACCAAACCAAACCAGGACCTGTGAGCAGAATGGACATCTGATGAGCCTAAATAAGTGAACACAGAGCAGCTGAGCCAGTGCTGGCTTCCTAAGCCCCTGAACCAGCAATCCGAGTGGCCTAGGAGTACAAAGAGCCTCAAAAGCAGCACACAAGCTTCCAAAACTGCAGGCCCAGGGCCTAGCCTGGGTGAGCCCTCCTCCTCCTGTCTCAAACCCAATCTTGGACAGCTGTGAGAAATTCAAGGATTCCTCCATTTCCCTGAAATCTGGGGAGATACTTCTTCACCCACCTAATTTAGGGAGACATTGCCCCCCACACACACACAGTTGGGGGGGGTTGCTGGAGTATAAGAACTTCTTTCCCCCTCCCATCTGGCACAAGGACACAAAGGTCACAGAACTAGGGAGTGAGCAAGAAATCACCTCCCAACTCCATTCTCAGAAAAGGACAGAGAACAGACAGGAAAAACAGCAGGGGGCAAAAAAGCTGGGCCTGAGCTACTGCCCCGGGACACTGCTCACTTGAGGCCTGCTGCTTTTTTTTTTTTCTTCTTCCTTCTCCTCCTCTTCCCCTTCCCTACCTCTCCCTGCCCCAAACAAATACTCACATTTTCCTCATGGTTTTAGTGGAAAAAAACCTTTTAAAAATAAAAGGCCAGGAGATTTCCCCCAATCCCACCTCCGCCCCCTCGTGGGGCTCTGCCTTGCCCAGTTTTTGGACAAACACTCAGAAGAGAGAAGTGGGGGTGGGGCATGGAAGGCCCTTCTCTTTCCTTTTTTCATTTAATTCACAGCTATTCAGTCACATCCAAGTCAGGGGTACAAGAACCAGGGGGCTCCCCCAGGAACAGGCCCAGGGCTGGCCGGGCTGCTGCCATCTGGCAAGAGCAGTGAGTTTCCAGTGACATGTACCCTCTAAAATTAGCGGTCTCAGGGATCTCGTGGCCCAAGGCTCAGATTTCCCTAACTCAGGCTGTAGGACCCCTCCTCAGCCAGGCCTTCTGCACCAAAAGGCCTTCCACCAAGGGCCAGGCTGAGCTGCTGAGGAGCAACCAACAGGACCGCCTCATCTACATACAAAGAGGCAGTCTGGAACCAACCACTGGGGGGGGGGGGG